CCTTGGTTTTACGACGGAGACGGTAGTTGCCAGTATCCCAAACCGAGCAAGAGCCGACACTAGACAAAGTGCAGTTCGCCTGTTCCTTGTTGAAGCCGAAGAAAGAGAGTCTCAAAACGAGGCTGGCACAATTCCATCATACACCCGAGTCGACGAACCAGTCCCAAAAGACGCTATGAATCCTGCACGCTGCAGCTTGTCCAACCCTTGCCCCGATACCGTGCACCGTAAGCGCCGGACCCGTGGAGGAAGTGCCCGCCCCTGGGCCTTGCAGCATTTTGGACTGGATAGACTGGATGGTGCGTCTGCTCTCCCTGCATCTACATCCAGGGATCTTGGGGCGGAGAGTGTCCCTCCTGTTCTTTCAATAGCAGTTTCACGGGAACTTTTCTGACTCGATGTATGGTCTTCTGCAAAGCCCGCCGCAGCCCCTGCTGAAGCGGAAGTAGGAGTGTGCCGGGGAGTGACAAGAGTACAGTGTGCGTATTCAGATTACCTTACCTTGCCTTACCCTGACTAGCCTTGCCCTGCATTACAGTCAAGTGCCTTGCATTGCATCCCGTTCCAGTACAGTTTGTCTCGTTGCATTACGTACCTTACATTGCATCACATGCAGGTGTAATATTTGTATGTACATACAAACACACATGCACAAGCATGCATACATGTAGGCATAGATCAGCCATGCATGCTCCAATTAGGTGCATGTGTATATGCACACACACACACACACTCTCTCTCTCTCTCTCTGTTCATCGGCTCACATAAGTGTATGTATATGTCCGTGTAAATTTATTTATGTGTATATGGATCTACTCACCTTACACGCTGGTATAAGAAAGGAGGAGACAGAGATCGACCTAGATGATTCAGCGGATGATAAACAAGCAAAATCGGCACAAAGATGGACGGATGCGCATGCGAGATCGAAAGACAGTGCGGTATAGAGATGCAACCAACCATGTCACCATGTGGTGGTTCCTGCGTCTGCATGAACGATCGCCCGCTGGTTTGTGGAAGATGATCAAGCAGGAGGTTAGGTTTCGTTTAGGCTTAGGGTCAGGTTAGATTAGGCAGATAGACAGGTAGTTGGACCGATAATCAGACAGGCACACAGGCAGACAGACAGACGGACGTACAGACGGTCACACAGAAAGGCAGACCGACAGACGTACCGATATATAGATAGATATAGATAGGTGTCGGTAGAGTGTTAGATGTCCACACACACACAGATGGACAGATAGAAAGATGGTTAGCTACATAGATACACCGGCAGACAGGTAGATAGGTATGTGGTAGATTTACAGATATAGATAGTGAAGTGGAAAGATATATACATAAACAAGACAGGTAGATAACGCTCAGACTGAGACAGACATTGAGAGAAAAAGCTGTAGGGCAATGGACAGACAGGTTGATACACAGGCATGTCGGTAGGTCCTGCAGGTTATGAAGGTGGACAGAGAAGTAAATAGCTCAATGGCCAGATAGAAAGATTTAGGGAGGACTTCAGGTTCCGCACGAACGGCCATATTTCTGGGCTTGAATCTGAGCTTGAAGGGTGAAAGTTGGGTCATGCGGCCCTGTACTTCCTGCGTTTGACATGTGGCCTACACTCCTGCAATCTTTGAAGCTGTGCACGGCTTGGGGATGGGGGGGGGGGGGAATTTGGGAGGCGGGGTCGATTTTCGATGACGGCGAGTGGAACGAAACATACTCTGCAACGTGCTATGTAGTATTTTAGGGTTCTTAGGTCTTGGGGCTACTGTCACGGCGATGCTTTTTGCTTGTAAGTGCTTAAAACGCCTCATCCACGAAGAGCAGGATCGTCCCATAGACATTCAGGACTCGGCACGAGCAAGGGTTTGTCGAGATGCAGAAAGTACCCCATCAATTGTTGACAAGGGCCCGTGAATTTTAAACGCAGAACTCTCTCCAATGCCCCAGGCCCCTTAATCTGTGAACCCGAACACCCCCCCCCCTCCCCTACACCGCTGACGAGGTCGCTCGAAACCCTCAGCCCTCAACGGCTCCAACCCAAAACTCCACAAAGCATCAGAAGGCCTGCAATATTGGGGTCTGGATAAAAAAGTATGTATCGGATCTGCTTGCAATCTTCAGTTGGAAGTGTAACAAACACAGTATACACTACATTCCCCTAAAACCGACATAACTTACTGTGGCCCCGATATCAGCCGTTTCAAGCTGTAGGCTGTGGGCGTAAGAATTTTTGGGTGCTTCCAGGTCTAGGGTTTCTGGGTCCAAAGTCCAGGATTTAGGCTTCGGACTTAGGGATTGGGGTGTGCTATGCGAAGAGACTCAACAGCCCCTTTGGTTGAGCAACATACCAAGAAATGGAAGAGATGTTTCTTCTAGCTACGGGGGTTTGCAGCCTCTGAATTGCTCTGGATTAGGGTCCCTTTTTGGGTACCCTAAATATTAGGTGCCGTATTATAATAGGGACCCAAAAAGGGACCCTAATTCAACCACCCATGTCAAGTTTTGGGACCGAAAGATGTTCAGTGCTGCCCTGCTCGACTTCTTGCACGTCTACGTCTTTGGAAGGCTCGGGCTTGAATCTCAACGTAGCTTGAAAAGAGGTTAGTAGAAGTTCACGGTTTCGGGGTTCAGGGTTTGGGGTCTTCCCTAGACCCCATCCCCTAAACCCTACACATCGCTGCTAAGGTTCTGGAGGCTCCTGACCGTTGAGGGTTTGGGGCATAGGTTCGACGGTTTGGTTTTAGACTTTAGTGCGCTGCGGGCGGTTTGCTGTTAGATTTGCAAGGGGAGCAGCAGATGAACCTGAAGAGCCCGAAGCCTAAGCCTATGGTTCAAGGATTGCGGCCTAGGCAAGGCCAAGTCCCACTTCAGGACTGGGGCCAAGGCAGATTCGAAAGAACAGGAAGGTGAAGAAGAAGATGGTACCCGCAACGATCACCTGGAAACTGCTCGCTCTCTGATTTAAAGCTCCTCAGGACGACAGACCCAAAGCCTGAGAACCAAGCCCTGAGGAGGTCTCTAAGTGGACACATTCCTTCGGCGGTTTCTTGCCTTATGTTCCTGTGATTGTTGGTGTTTACCCGAAGTGCCAGCAAAAGCCTTGTCGTCGTCGTGTAGAAACCATCTAGCACTCGTTTACATCCCTTGCCGGAAGCCTTTGAGGAACCCGTTGTAAGGCAGGCCCCAACATTCTAAGAAGGTATTCAGAGAATGCTGCAAGGCCTACGTGGGCTTTCCTGAAGCTCCTCCAAGCGTACATGGCTTTGCACAATGCTCGTAGCGCCTTGCAACTTCCTGATAAGGCTCGAAAAAGCTTCATGCCGCGGCGTAGGTCTACGTTTCAGGGTGGCTTTAGAGTTTTGGGTGTAGGGCTGCAGCCTGCAGTTTATGAGGAACAGCGGGATCAGGAAGTAGGTTGCTGCCATATTTACTTACAACCTCTGTGGGACTCCCAGAGACTCCATTAAGGAATATACCTTAAACTCATAGTAGGGGTTCCTAATATGACTTAAGGCTTTAAGGTATATTCCGTCATTTAGGGATAATCTGGGCTCTTGGTCGCTGGCTGAGGATTTACGGCTGGGGAAGGTGCAGCTGCTAGAGGCCCCGTTCGAAACCGGCGGCCTGCAACATTTCCCCCCTCCTCCTCCTCCTCCTCCTCCTCCTCCTACTACTACTACTACTACTACTACTACTACTACTACGACTACTACTACCAGTTACTAGCACTACCACGACACCTGCCAGTGTCACTGCCACTAGAACGTGGCATGGCTTCTTCAACACAGGGGCTGTGATGAGTAGATGATAAGGTTTTGGGCTGTATTCTACGCTACACTTAAAGTAAGGAGCGGTATGATCAATTATTTAGCTCCCTATTCAGGGCTGCATGTGATTTGCAACTTTTCCGTGCATTAGAGGAACTGAAACTGACCTAGACCTGAACCTTAGTGACAGGTTTAGGGTTATCGGTTTAGGGATGTCAAGGTCCAGGGTTTAGAGTTCAAGATTATCGGTTCAGAGATGTTTAGGGTTCGTGCTTCAGGGTTTGGGTTCCGGGCTTAAGGTCATCGAAAGAGTTTCTAAAATTTAGGATTCTTGATAGACTATTCGATACCTGGGCCTCGGGCTCCAATGCACGTGGTGATCGGAAAATGCAGTGTCATTGGACCTACCTAAGATTGTTAAGCTGCCCCCATCACGGGAAGCTTCGCCAAGGCCTGGAGCTTGTATCGCTCGCCGCGGTGGCGAAATATCATCACCCAATTCAAGAACGGCGTTGACCTCAGTCAGGAGCAGCAGCTGGTGGTTGCTTCCTGGTGTGACATGTTGCATAGGCATCCAGCACACATCACCACGTCATCGTTGATTTCTCCTGGATGCCTACCGGAGCTATATCGAAGACACTCTGTGAGAATTCAGGTCGTGCGGAGGAGACTCTTTGCCCAGGGACAGAACTGCTTAGACCAGAAACGGATGCAGCAAGCAGGCATGTTACATTCCCTTCTGCACAGGCAGGCTCAGGCTAGGCCAGCATGGATAGGAGTCTAGCCTAGAACAGGCATTCAGCACACATGAGCACGTCAGTGCTGAGTAAGCCTGGAGCCTGGATGCTTGACCAAGCGATACTGAAGACACTCTATGAGAATTCAGGCTGTGCGGAGGAGGTTCATTACACCGGGATACCTGCTAGACGACGAAGTGCGTGCAGCAAGCAGGCAGGGCACATCCCTTTTCATCGCCTGCTGCGTAAGTTCGCAGGCCAGACCAGCACGGTTGCGAGTCTAGCCTGGAACGCGGGTCACACCAGGTCGATGCAAGGACGCATGGGTAAGCAGGTAGCACGGTTCGCACAAAAAGGCAAGCTGATGCCTGCAGTAGTGGGATTCACGCGAAGTGCAGTGCATACCAGCACGGTTGCGAGTGAGCACAAGCACTGCCGGGAATCAACCCCGACGCATCCTTGGAGCTGCTGCTGTACAAAAGCCCACATCCGTCTACAATGACTTTGTCACACGAGTGTTGGAAATGTTCGGGCTAGAGACATGAATGAATGTCCGCTTCACCATGACCTCTTCTAACGCTTCGTCAGCGCCCATTGCATCCGTCATTTCATCCCAGCAGACTGGTAGGTCTCGGGTCTCTCGCAGTCGCACTTGTTGACTGCTGGGTATGGCCTGCAAGGCTTTCACGACCAGTCCCTCGAGATCTTCTGCCACCACCACTTGCGAGGACTTGAAAGACACGCCTCGGAGCTGCTGATCTTGGACTGCCTCCCGAACGCTCTCATACTGTTCCGGATGTACGAAAACTTTCATACCACAAGCCAGGACTGCCTCATAGCCTCTGTCATGCAAAGCTGCACGAACATCTGCGACTGCGGGCCCTTCCAGCAAAGCGTGTCGGAAACATTCTGGGCATCGGGAAAAGCTCAGAAGGACTATGCGGGGTTCGTCCGCATGGAAATCATGGAATCTCTTTACCATGGCCTGGCTGAGCCTCGCATTGGCCTCTGCTGCTTCCAGCAAAACTGCAGAGCTAGCCATAGGCTGAGCCTCTAGGCTGTCACTGTAACCTGTCCCCTGCCATGCATCAGGATCACTGTGCTCTTTCTCCATCGATTCGATGAGCCTGTCGAGCTCACGAAGGCACCGCTCCGAATGGTTCAGGCCTGAACTGTCTGAGAATGTCCCGTCCACACGTCCAGTGGAACGCATCTGGCCCATCAGGCGCAAGTCATGGAGCAAGCGCGGATTCATATTTTCCAACCCTTCAGGGCAGCGATGCAAGCAGAACATGTATGCAACGAAGACCTGTGCCCAGTCCTTGGCGCGGTTCTTCTTGGCGATGCAAACGTGGTTTTTGAATTGCTCAGAGTACATGGTCTGGGTTGCCCGGCAGAACATGGACTGAAAGAGGGATGCATCTTCTACTTGTAGCTTTGCGAGCGCCCATGCAGTATTGCTGACGTCCTGACTGACTGTGAACAAAGACTCTGTCTGCCTGATCAAATTGCCAACGGACCCTAGGGCGGCCTGGTCGAAGAATCCCGTTTTGGCAAAGGTCCAACATACGGTTGACAGCACCTGAGGATCAAGATGTGAGACTTTGAGCTTTAGAAATGCTATGCACTCCGAAAACAGCGCCGAATGCTTGAAAGACCTTCTTCCGTATGCCCACATCATCATGGTCACCTCTTCCATGGCCACGGATAGTTCTCGCAGGCGGACAGCAAGAATGTCGCCAAATGCATGAAAAGTCTGAGTCCACATCGGATTGCTGGCATCAACCTTTGCAATTCCCCACAAAGTTTGCGTCAATCGACCCGCTTCCCACTGTGCGGTATCGACCTGGCCAATTCTCGCAGCCATGGCTCGCAAAATACTCTCCTCTCGAAGCATGACCATGGCCTTCAGCAACGTGGGAAACACAGACTGTGAACACTCTCTGAGAGGCTCATTGATGAGGGAAACGCAAGCCTGCACAAGTTTCCCGAATGATGGGTCGGTGCGGATGGATACTTGGCTTTTCCGAGGCTGGTACTCATTGGAAGAAGCCTCGTAGTGAGCGGTTTTGTCTGCCAGCAAGTGGAAAGCACAGACTACATCAATGGCATCGAATTCGCTAATCCGGCATTCAACGAGCTGCAAGATCTCCGCCGTTGTCGCGGCCCTTTGCAAACGGGGCCGAATGGAATGGCATTCTACTTCAGCCGCCATCTCGCCATATGCATTGCAAATGGACGGATCGGCGCCAAGTTGAAGCAACTCCTCCTTCATGGACTCGCGCTTGTTCCATGAAGCCAAGTGGAGCGGAGTGCACCCATCCTCCCGCTGCACATTCAAGCTGAACCCATAGGTGGTCACGAGAGAACGAAGCACGCGAGCTTTGCCTTTCCTCACCAGCTCGTGGAGAATCATGGGCCTGTTCTTGCCCTCAGCCACGAAGGCCTTCAAAGACTCCAACCCGAACTGTTTGACGAGGTTCGGGAAGGTTGTCAGCATCTTATCCTCATCACTTTCGCGCAACCAGTTCCGGACTGCCTTGTCGTGCGCCATACCTACACTGACAGAGGCCCTGAGCCCTGCTGTGGCTACGGTCGGCCTCAACCATGGACATGAACTAGGCGGCGTGATCTACAAAAGACGGATGCCCGGAGCACTAACAGCGATGCCGCCATTAGGTTGCATGAACTTTGCAACACGGCTGGTGTTCTCGAGGATCGGCCATTTTTGTTTGTTGTGTGATGTAAGCACAACTCATAGGATCCAGAGATAAGCGAACAAACAGCTCCGACGACCTTATTACCCTAGTCCCTACACCTCACTTGCCGCAGACTTCGAGAACCCAGCACTCATCCAGCAACGGGCACCAATCCCTCCGATCCCTGTGAACACTCCTAATATGGGCTTCTAAAGCCCGGCAATGCCTTAACCCCCAAACGATCTGAGCTCCGAACACCTCCATGCACATGAGAATGGCAGCATTCAGCGGCAGCATCTTGGCGAAGCAGGGTGGTACAGATGCCAGACACAGTCAGGACAGATGCTGTAGGGCTCACAGTTGAGAGCTGTTTCCGGGATTTGTGGATCCGTACTATCCGGTGCGGGGCTTTTGGCGGGCTTTGGTAAAACAGGCCCACCAATCTCAAAAGGACGACTAGTTACGCAATGCCGTGGCGAACCCTAAACCCTAAACCCTACCGAAAACCTCAACCAACATCTGAGAATAGCACCCTTGAGCATTCAAAAAGTACATCGGCGGGCTCAGAGACCCCAGTATTCCTCCGCCTTGCTAACGGTAGGGTTTAATGTAGGAACCTGATTAAGAAACCTTGGGCCTATAACCCCCAAATAGTAGGATTCGTTCATATAAGGTTTCTTAATCAGGTTCCTACATTATATAGGGCTGTAGGGATTCAGCTTGAGGTTCCCAATTGCTTACTGCCCGCGATGCCCCAGGAAGTTCATGAATGATACCAAGCTACAAGAAGGCCCCGAAACAACAGGCCAGGTTTTTAAGAACTCAGAATGCAACTTCGGAATGGCTCTATGCATAAGGATTGCTATAAGGGTTACTTCACGGGCCCTTAAGTAAGTCAAGCGTGTTCTAAATTTCTGAGGATTGGGAGTGCCGGGTCCACAGAGGACCCGAGGTCACTACTTCACTCTGTCAGGCTCACACGGTCCCTCGGCATGCATGACTCGCTACAGACAGAAAGCTTAGAGTTTCGGATCTGCTCAAAGCCCCCCCTTTGGTCCACAAGGACAATATGGGAAATATGTTGAATGACCCTTGGATGTACTTGTCTGTATGACTTGTGAAATGATAAGGATTTCAAGATGAACCTCCAGTCTTCGGGTTTGGGGAGGTCACTGGGTCCCAGCCACTTCGAAGCCCGATATCCTGAATCCAGCCGGGATGCGCTCCAAGTTCGGAGCCGGAAAGACTCATTAGATTGCGGGTTGGGGTACGTAATTCGGATTCAGGGTTTAGGGTTAAGAACCTTACAGGGCTTACCCAACACCTAAAACTCGCAAATCCAGCCGCTCACAGGTGCCCCCACACAGTTGCTGCGAATGATGAGGCCAGCCGCAAGGAAGGCAATGTGGTGCACCTCAACACTTGACCCTACACTGGAAACGGCTGTTGATCTCGGGGCTGGCAACACCGCTCTTCGCATGTCGCCGATTCTTTGCTTCTCTCCAGAACTGGACTTGTCGGACTCCCGCGGTGGGTGCCGGCTTGGTGCTGCAGGTCTAATGAGGCTGGAAACCCGATGGTGCGCGCAAAACAGCATTTTGCCTTTCCTGCGAATTGGCTTCTGAAGCCCTTATTCTTCAGTTCCTGTTCGCGTCTGTGCTCGTTTTTCCGAAAGCCACGGTGTGTGATCGTCAGCAGGCGTGAAGCTGTCTAAATGTCACTTTCCAGACCCAGAGCACGACAGATAGATGCGACAGACAGACAGACAGACAGACAGACAGACAGACAGACAGACAGACAGACAGACAGACAGACAGACAGACAGACAGACAGACAGACAGACAGACAGACAGACAGACAGACAGACAGACAGACAGACAGACAGACACACACACAAAGATAGGGGGAGAGAGAGAGAGAGAGAGAGAGAGCTAGAGAACGAGATAAAGATGTTAATCGACTCCAAACCCCCAAATCCTACCGTCCAAACTCCCAGATCGTGAACTATGTCTCTCTGCTGAGACCCTTGCAACGTAGTCGAGGGTAGCGAGCCTGTGGAGGAACAGGACGATGAGATCCTTGGCCACAAGGCTCACCCGAACATAAAAGAAGGTTTCGGGCTATGGCGTGTGGGTTTCAAGGTTTCGGGGTTAGGGCGGTGTGGGGTTGTGAGGATGTCATCCGGGCTTGGGTTCATGATGTGCGGAGAGCTGGATCGGCATGTCCAATTATCAACTCTGCCATCGTCGTCATCACATCGCGAGCACCAATCATCTTCATCAAGCGGCTTCCGCAGCACAGCAACAAGAGGCCCGGACCGCTCAAGCCTGTCTGAACAGCCTGCTGGCACGCTCCAACTTCCTCCGTTCCATGTCACATCCTACACTTGACGACCCCATCTGAGTTGAGGGCTGGGCCCTTACCTCAGCCCCACCATCGGCCCCAACGAGCCGCCCCTCATCCAGGTCATCTGAAATCTACTGCCCGCGGACTCCAAACGCCTCCCAGCCTCAATAGCCTGACCCAGCCACCCAAACCACAACCCATAAAACCCAACAGCTGAACTGTAAACAATATGAATCGAAAACGGATCTTACGGTCTCTGACCGAGCGCTCAAGCTCCAAAGAGACTTAGAGTAAACAGGCTGCGCGTACGTAGACTGACACTTGATTGGGTGGCTACCGCTACCCTAGACAATGCAAGACTGAACGCGCAACCTACTGGCGGAATAGTGCAACACTCTGTCTGTGTACAAGCTGCTTACTGCCGAGTTTGCTCAGTTCAATGCTGCCCAAGAGGCCAAACTGGACTGTGTAACTATGGGGCTTATCTATGCCCCCCCCCGAGTTAAAATGTATCTATTCCACTAAGTCCCTTTGTCCTTCAGGTACGGTAGACTTTCCCACCCGCACTAAAACCAAGAAGGTGACTGTGGTAGGGATAACAAGCTTACCACGCTGTCATTCTCTTGAACCCTGACCCGCAAGCCCGAAACCCAAAACCCTAAACCCACTACCTTAAAACCCAACCCCTGAAATACTAAAGTCATAATTGCCCCAAGCCCTTACAAGCACCTTCTAGCGACAGCATAACAATGCTAAAACCTCCTCGAGCCTAAAGTTTAATGCTGTTTTTTGTGGACATTCATAGAGCCTAGCGCATTCATAGAGCCTAGGGACCATGGTTCACGTAAAACCCTACATAGAACGCTCACGATGAACCCTAAAGTCTAGACCTTAGAGAAGTAGGCCTCCCGGCTGCCATGGTGAAAGAAGTGAAGATCAGCCCTGCCAGTGCCACGGCCTTTATGGTTAAGGGTTTTTTTGGTTTTCAAGCTTTGGCAATTTGAGGTTGGGGGCAGAGGCTTGAGAAGTATAGATCATAAGCTGAAGGCGCACCTGTAATCCCGAAAGTATGTTGCAAAGGAATGATATAGGGATTTAGGCTTAGACTTGAAGGCTTGAACAAGTTCTTGGCATAGGTTTTGGTCAGGCTGAGGGCTCGGGTCTATTTCTAAGGATGTGTTGCTTGTTGTTCCTCGTGGAGACCTTGACCTCCTGGAACTCTGCGCGGAAAATGCGGCTGAGGTTTGGCCCACATTCTTGCAAGTGCTGACTGCAGTCGTAACATGCAAGTACAATTGCTCACACGCATGGGGGCCCTTGATGCAGTCTCCTGTGAGAACTGTTGGAGCCTTGTAAATTCACTGGAAAGGGCGCTCTGCCCCTTCCCCACATCCATCATCGACTGCTGCAGTCCTTGTCGCTGTGCACGTTCGTTCTCTCTTGCTGCAACAGTCGTGATGAAGACTCCATCCGAGATCCTGCTTCGAATCTCTTCTATACCTTCGCGCGCCATATCGACGCCCGTCTTTACTTCTGGAATTAGGTCCAGGTGCGGCCCGCTTTGCAGCAACCGCATGCATTATCTTGTGGCCTTCCTCTTGAGCGTCCGGGCGAAGACCACCAGAACCGAGATCATCCTTGCTACCCGGAGAACATAGCACCTCCTGACATGCCCGGACATGTGGCTCCAGAATAATGGAGCACGGGATCGCAGCACCAAGAGCCAACGAAGTCTTGAGTTTCGTTGCTCCGTGTGGATATCCGGCAATATTCGCCTGATCGATCTTGTTGTGCACGCGCATGTCCTTGAGTCGTACCAAATGCGAGGCATATGAATGGTCCCAGGCATAGGGATCAGACGTTGGATCATCCGCCCCGACCCAAAACCACATACCCAGAACCCCAAACACCGAACCAAATTTTACTGCACTAAACCAGAATTCTCAGAGAAACCCTTATACTGTCCAGTACTGCCAGGATCCTTTAAGAGTCTCGGGTTTAAGGGGCCTAGTGTTAAGGAATAGGATTTTTTGGGAACCTTGGATAAGAGTTTCGGGTTTCGAGCTTAGGGTCCCATTGAAAAACTAGCTAAAATCTGACCACCCTGAGAAAGCACCGTAAGACCCTACAAGACCCCTACAAAGCCCTTGTAAAACCCATTCCACGCACATGCAACACACTGTAACGCCCCATAAAACCATATGTATATATATATATATACATATTTATACATGTGTATATATATATATATATATATATATATATAATATACATATGTATGCACACACCTATTCGTATGTATGTATGTATGTATATATATATATATATATATATATATATTTATATACACAACAAAGGTGTCTATGTATGTACCTCTGTATACATGTGTATATGTATTTTGTGCATATGTATATATGTATTTCTGTATATATGTATGTATGTATGTATGTACGTATGTATACATGTATAGATGTACATATGTTCAATGTATACAGTAATGTATAAGTGT